CAGTAGTGCATCACAAGCGCATAATGTAAGATAGCGGGCAGATGGGAAAAGAGCCACCAGAGCTAAGGCAAATAAAATAATGGGCTACATCAATGCTATCCGAATGAGGTACATAACTCCATGTCTATCGGAGATGGGGATAGGCCTCAGAACTTCCTATGAAACAAATGTAAGGACTAAACTGGGGTATTAAGTAAACGTTAGAATGAGAGGATAGTTGTCGCAGAAAATAAGGCGCAAATGTTCAGAATCCAGTTTTGTAAAGAAGGCGATGGAACAGGCATGAAGTGGGAGGTCTACAATTAACTTGTGAAGTGAAGTTACACCCTATGCAATTTATCGTGACATTTCTTGTGCAACAAATCTTCTCAGCTGGATGTTGTTCTACACCTAAGTCAGGCTCAGATTCCGGTATGATAGCCTAAGTATAAAAAACAGGCGACGACTACACACGTAGGCAGAAGTTCCCTTGCAGTCAGTTATTTTAACTTTCTCCCCACCTTTGTTAATGCCCATAATCCTCGTAATGACTACCAATTCTCTCCTAAATACATTCGCTATAACTAAAGCGATTATTTTTTCTCCATCTACGAAATTCTTTGTGCTTCTATTGCCTACATCAACCGTGCATCAAGAAAGACGCAGAAATAAGTACTTTTGCAAAATCATTTGCTTTTCCCATTTTATCACACCCACTGCCTATTCATTTATTTGTAGAAGGCACCCACATAAACCCGTGTCTTTTATGCCGCATCTACGGAAGGGGCTACGCTACTGTTCTCATAATGCAAACGGTAGTACGAGCTAGGTGTATTACATTACGAGCAACTGTCAGCGATGTACATTACATCGTGGCACCTCCTTCAGATGTCGTTACTCAAGATAGTAGTCAATAGTATTGTGCAAATGGAACAATGTGTGCTGATGTCAGTATAGAACGCCATCCCACCGGTATCGAGGGCAGAATTTGAGGAGAACATGGCAATAGAAAGCTCGTTTACTGAGCAGTAAGCCAGTTATACAGAGCTTACACTCTGAGACCCTGTTGCACCCAGTTCCGTGCCCAACCCATCCCAAGTGGTATCGGGCAGGCAAAGGAGGAAATCCATTGTGGAGTACTTGGCCACATTAGAAACGCTGCCTCAACGAGTCAATTAGAAGTGACAGGACAAGTCACAAGGCGTCTTCGCCATCACGTATTTAACCCGCATAGAGCTCGTATTAATCCAACCATCCATCTCGTATCCATCCGTCCTTCTATCTGCTCTCCTACTCATTCATCCATCCAGGATCCCTACTGCATCCCGTATCCATACATCAGTCTACCTATCTGTTCATCTGCCCATCCATCCCTCTCCTTGTCATCTGTGCATCCATACCTCTATTCCTTCACCTGCTCACCTATTATTATTCGTCTCCGCATTTGTTCCCTCAACGCGTTCCCCTTCCCACTCCAAGTGGCCATTATTGGCAGCTACATATTTTGGCCATTTTTGCATTGCAAATGTTGATCCCTTTTCTTTCGCTTCTCCAAATCCGAACAAAACTTCCCACCGCAATCTTATCAACAGAATGCCAATCTCTCATTTTGCGACTAGGGATACTCTCTGGAACAGCTTGTTAACTGGTATCTAGCGTTGGCAAATTGGACTAAACGCAACGAACGGACTCAGCCGTGGCAGCCTATACATAAGCGTGTCCATCCTTCTAAGCCACTGTAACTACCATCCCAAACCACTTTCTAGTCCACCTTTCAAGTCAGCGTTTGGACACACAATGTGGTCCCTCCCGTCTTCTCCACTCGGATGTGATTTGAAGCATCACTGGCAATTGTCAACACGTAAGATGTGTCGTCACGTGGCGTGTAGAAGCATGTGAAAATGTCTTCCAACAGTTGGTTCATTGTAGGTCCTGTGGAAATACTTTGCTTGTGCGTGACCTCACAGCATCACCCTTCAGCACACCTCATGGTAATGACCAATTTGATTCGACCCCAGAACAACTCCTTCCACAACTTTTCCTTCTCACCCACCCACGATCTCGTCGTCGGGATATGATAACTCCAAATGGAGTCAGCCTCAATAGGTAAATCATGATGCAACTATGTGGCACACCAGATCCAGCAAGTGTGAGACGAATGAACCGCTCGAAGGCGAAGCAAACACCAACTACTCCATTTGAGGTGACTGTTGGATATCATGCAGCCACTCAAAATGGGAAAAGAATAAATTGTTTTATTCAGAAGAAGTGGGCGGTGGCGGAGGCGGAAGAGGGGTAACATGTAAGTATTGGGGGTTCTTACAACAGTAACTTCGATGATCTCTTGCCTCTAACATTTGTTCACAAGCCAATCACCAGCATCACAATTACGATGAGAGCGGTCTGCGAGTTAGATGCAGTATGTTGCAGGAAATGTCATCTCCTAACGCTACTTAGTAGTGGACAAAGGACGGGTTAAGGACTCACCTGTAACAGAATCTGCATCTGAGATGCAGTAAAGGTGACGATTTTATCTCTGCATCATGGCACATTAGCCTTTGGTGCTGCCTTAGAATAGCAAATTACTAGATTTTTCTTGCTTACACGATCTGTGTGACCGTGGCTGTTAGTGGTGATTATGAAGTGGAAAGCAGTTTGATATTATGCCCGAAACGGAGCACCGATCGAGTGCCACCTTATGGAGATAAAACTGCTGGCTGATTTGGCTAAGAACTGGTGTTAATAGATGACAACAATGTGAGAATCCACGTTAGGTGTTCGTGCTTTCTGCTGAACCGTCAATATATTCGGAGGACAAGAAATGTCAGAATGAGGTATGACATTCGGAGACGCAGAGGAAATTAAAGGAGACAAACCTATCCTTGTCAGACGATGCTAACACATTTCATTGTTATCCTATTACACATAGCTTTGGAGATAGACAGGAGCCTGAGTTGTAGATAGGGTGACAAATCCGACTCTCCTCTAACTCCTCAAGTGGTAACTTTTTTGAAATGTGTCCAAAATGGACTGTTGTGAAAATTAGATGGAATAAGGTTACTCTTCTTCAAATCTACCATTTTAGTAAAGCACATGGCTATGAGCTAAATGAGGGAAGGATTGAATCTGTCAACCATTTGACAGACCCCAGGCAGGCGTGCTCACCTCACTCATCTTTCCTTGCTGGCAGTGTAAACTGTCTGCCAACCCTCGTGGCACAAAGCCCAATCCTGTCAAATTTCCTTTTGCATATTGGGGAGTCTAGCTCTGATCTGCTAGTCTCGTTCTCTCCAAAAGTGCGATTGTTAGCATTCACATTTTCTAAATTCTGCTAACCCAAACATGTTAAGCCTTTTGGAAAATATAAGAAAGCTAGAAAGCAGAGACATCTCGGAAATAGCGATCATGTACATTATTTTGAGCTTGGACTAGATACATGCCTCAAAGTAGCGATAAAACGGATGCTTGTCGCAAAAACATTTGTCCTTTTCTACTTAGGGGTGAGGTTACAAGCATATGACGAGGAAGACAATGGTGATAAGTACGACCTACAAATTGCAATTGCGTGATAGTTGGGGCAAGAAATCGAGAGAAAGGAGGGAACAAATTCTCTTTTTGCTCACCTGTGGTAGAATGGCGCCAATGCAGACATGCATAATGAACACCTGATTATTTCTGGCGATATCAACTAGTTTATCCCTGCATCCAGTAATGTTGGCTTTCCTGGCGCCTTCCACAGTGCAGGTCGATGCGTCCGACTCACAACACTGAACTGGGAGGTCCGGTTCTCCCATAAGTACGCAAATAACGAGTTCCTTCTGCTATTCAGCATAACCTGGGAAGTAGTGTACACCGCCCACTTACGGAAATCGGTGTATCCGTCCATTCCACAGCATGGCTTTCCGTCAAGCTGCAGACGAGATGTTAAGAGCGTTACACTTAAAGACGAGGGTTAGATAGGAAGAGACCTAATGGTTAACATTTTTACCCCATAGTGGCACTCCAAATCGCCGATACTGCTTCTCCAGGTCTAGTATCATTGCCATAGAAGGCGAGTAATTCTTTCGTTGATTCCACGAAAGCGGCAGCTAGTCGGTGTGGATCGGGAAAGATCACGATAACCGCTATTATTTGAGCTAGAAGAAGCGCAGCCAAGATAGCGGAGTACTAGAAGTGGAAGAGGTGGAAATTGGATAAATTAAATTATGGCCAGGCTTTGTGTGCTATGCGGGGGGCGGGGACGGGGGCTTAATTCGAGGTGTTCTTACGATCTTGAACAGTAAGTTGCAGCCACAGCAAGAGGAGATGCATCCGATTAAACACAGTGCCGCTATGCAGAAGCTGGCCACAACGAGAATACAAGCAATACCACCTAAATGAAGGGAAGAAGGGTCGTGAGCAGTGAGCTGAAAATACGAACAAAATAACTAATTAGATTTTGGTACTACACATACCCACATTTCCAGCGATAAAATGAACAAGCTCATGCATATGCTCCGGCTGGACCATGCTCACATCCAACATCTTCTGCAGCATGCTTTGCAAAAGTGATGCTGAGGATACCAGAATGATGCTAAAAATGCCAACCACCATGAAAGCCATCTGAAAGGCACGAAGAAGTATGCGTGATAATTGAAGCGAGGCTTTGCGAATGATGATGCTCATCACTTGTCAGTAGGGCGGCTTACACAAAGGATGGCGTTAAAGAGATGCACGGCAAACTTCAGGCCGCAGGATAAGGCACAACCCATTCTGGAGGCCTGTTATACACAGAAAGGAATGGTGAGATGAGCTAGTATGGTCAAATTCATGTCACCTCAGTCAAGCGTCATTCATGAATCGTTTGCAGGAAGCGCCGAAAGGAAGAGCTTACAATCGTGGCAGATGCGCACCTCCTTTAATAGTGTTACCTTCAGATGTATACAGAGCGAACCCTCCCTTCTCTGACTCTGGGTTCTCCTATCTCACCATGGGAAAGCTTTAAATGTAGGTCACACTTCTATGAGATGAAACCCCAAATGGAATTGCTTATTACCTGTTGCTGTTATTGTAGTCATTTACTGTCATACCTTTCAAAGGGAATCGGGAAAAAGGGGAAAAAGTCTTAAATTGCCATAAAGATCAATAGAAATGTACAACATTAGTTCATTAGTAAAATAATTATCCATAAAATCAAAAATCTTTCAGTGCCTTCTATAAGAGTCGCGTATTATGACACAGCAATACTAATCATCCAATATAAAAATAAGAGAAAATGGTGATGGGAAAGGGAGAAGGATTGCAACGCACCTTCCCCGATTTTGCCAGTATTTGACTGACTCTGGTGGGGTTTGCTCAGTGTCCAAATCAAGATTTGCGCACCAGTATGAACTGCCTGCAAATCATTGGCTGTTTCGTTGGCAGGCTAGTTGAATGGCTAAATGTGAAGGAGGAAGGTCGATTTGTTTCCCCCCTTCCTCGTTCTCTTCTCGGCCATAGAGAACCAACGCACACCTCTCTCTTCCCTACTGACGTAACCTCCACCAAGAAAAAGCTGTGCAGTGTAATAGGAAAACCACCCTCATCCTTTGTTTATTTGATCATTAGAAAGGGAGAAATATGTGCGAAATCGGACGGTAGGGTGTGGCAGCTACAACTTCAGGTGGACGTGTTTATGTTTACGGGCCAGGAGATTATATTAAAGTGGTCAAGGGTGCGTGTGGTTCCTAGGGCGAATACCCCTTCCACCTCGATATAATAAGTTACCTACATCCCCCTACTCAATCGGGTGGCACTTGAGAATTTTGACACTGGTAAATGCAAGTTTTGCGCACCGTCATTTAAGCTTACACTGACAGGATTTATGCGGCTCATCAAAACACGTTTAGTGGAGTCATTTCCAAAGGCCAATTGCTCTCTTTGTTAATGAACTGCGTCCAAACTCATTCCCTGGCCTCTTTTACACAAGCATTCAATCATGGAGAATTATTCATGCTCAGTTATTCCCCAAAGTCCACTAAGCTAGACAAATACACTTGTATGGAGGAAAATGTATAGCTGATGGAGGAACGGAAGGGGTACATTCTCGTAGGTTTTTAAAAGAGGATTCGAATGACACATTACTTTGCATTCCACTGCATGTTTTGCCTTTAAATGACATCTGACAATTACTGTGATGGATAGGCAGGTGAGTGAAGAGGTAGATACAATGAGGTCATGGTGAGTGTAAAAAAAATAAGTGTAAAGAGATTTAAGCTTTGAGATTTTAGCTAAGGCATTAGAAGGGAATAGGATTGAATCAGTGTGTGGAGGAAAGAAGTAAGCAACGGCTTTTGCAATGCAGCGCATTTGCTTCCGCCTTGCGGTTTGTAGATCTCCTTCAATGCTCCCCACCCATCGCCGAAGACTCCATTCGGCTACGTCTTTGCCTTAGAAGGCCTCTCTTCAGGGTTTGATGGGTTCGAATGCAGTATAAATGACATAATCACACTGTTTTGTTTGCAACCATTAAACAATCATGATTGATTGCTTTTCTGGCCCTTGGTGCTTCAAAGCAATGTATGCTGAAATGCATGAAAATGATTGGAACAATTGTTACTCTCCAACATGTGAGGGCATGATTTACTGCAGTGACCTGGAAAATCTACCAACTTTAAAGCTTAGTCCTCTGAAAGAATAACTGATCCGTAGCCTTCTTTGAGAGGCTTTCTATACACACTTTTCTTTCATTTGTGCTTCCCTCATTACTGTTGTACTAACCATGTATAAGTAGTATCTCCTCCTTAACCCCAAGAACTACTATTCTTAGGCTTAACAGTGAACACTTTCGTTAGCCTTCGTGTATAATGTTTACATGAAATTTAGTACAGCCGTTCAAGCTCACTTAGGTGGTCAACTTGTTCCTTTAAATGCCAATGAGTGGAGTATGTAGTGGAGGAAGCCTGTCCCTTCAAACGTAATCAGAGCATAGAACTCGCTCTTCGTGAAGACCTCCTCAGATCATCTTCTTACAGTGCACCCTCTCCTTCCCAATGGTCCTTTGTCTCATGTGGGAAGGAGGAATTTCCATCACATGGGCTCCCATCAAAATCCACACTAGGTAGAATCTGGAACCTTTCCCTGTGATAAGCAGCGCTTATGCTCTTGTCATCTCTGCTCGTCCGCTGACTGCTCTTCTTATTGTTGACCAGTCTGGAGAAGTATCCACTAACTAGTAAAATCACTAGACTCGAATTCAGAGGCAAGACGAAGGAAGGAAACACTCAATCTGCCCCCACATCACTGACTCGCTACTTCATTCGCACGACTTTTAATCGCCTACTTGATGAACCATGTGATAGGCGTAGCTTTCCATCATTCGCCTCAATCCGAAAATGGAGTACTGTTTTCAACAGAAGGTACACCAGTGAATTACTTTTCCCTTAAGCATAATGCATTAATACGTCCCTTCCTACGAAATGGAGCGAATATTGCAATAGTCTTATTTTGTAAAAAATGCACATATCTCTACGCTTTATTAACTTTCCTTGTGAGTGAAGGGGAATCAATGAGAGGAACCCACATCTCTTAACACAGTAGTGAATGATGAGGTGCAGAAAACAAGCAGAGATAATTTGGTGCAGCAAACGGCGCCCCTCCTCTCATATTGGGGAAGCAGTCTTACATGTCAGTGCCACGTAGGTGAGGATTGAAAGAACTACCTGGAATGCAGAAGGAAGAAGGTTGCTCAATTAATTGCCATCACGTCGGGGTTGACTCTCCACCTTCCACTAAAGCATTTTGGGAGGCTTAAACACTTGATGAGTAGTCTCGGATTTGAAACAATAAACAAAATAATGCGAACGAAAAGGCAATTTTAGGGATTGCTTCTTCAAACCCTACCTGGCAAGCGATGAAGATGATAAGAATGACCAAAATCTTCAACATGTATTCATCAGCGTAGCGTCTTATCTTTCCACGACATCCCTCAACCGGTGGAGTCAACGCCAATGCATCAGTAATCAAACAGTCCTTGTCTGCTTTGCAACAGTATTTTGGACACTCTAGAGAGGAAAGCAAAGACAAAATTTTGGCTTTAAATGTGGCATAATTTAATCAACTGTTCTAGCAGAAACTACTCTCTCAGTTTACTTTTGTTTAAATAGCCCAAATTAACTCACATCCTGATGTTTTATTACTCACTGGGATCAAAAGGTGTG